TGTACTTCCTCCATCTGCCTGTTCTGCTCCCTACTCTGTCTCTGGTGAATACTCTGACCCCCGCATCTCTGGTCCATACCCCAGTTCTGTGTGCATAAATAAATAAATCTAAAAAAAAAAAAAAAAAAGATGGTGGAGAAGGGAAAAATTGATCCGCACAACCAGAAAGCAGGACTTTTCTCCCACCCCTCCCATATCCAGACATAAGGGATTTAGAATGAACTGATAAAAACTGCTTCTGTAATTTGCCCATTGTTTAGAAGAATGCCTTGCCTCTGTACAACGCAGGATTGCTTTGGTACTGAGCTTTTGATTAAGGTCTTGGTTCACATAATAAAAAGAGAAGTAGCATTCATCCGCATGTGCTGCACTTTTTTTAGATGTCAGAGATATAAAAAGGATGGAGCCTACCCTTGCAGATCTTCTATTTTAGTGAAGAATAGAAACAAAAAGAATCAGTGCTATTAAAAAAAATAGTGTTGAGGGGATAAGAGGAAGAAAGAAGTTGCTGCTTCAGATACGTGGTCTGTGATGACACCTCTTTAAGGACGCAAATGAAGGAGAGGTGCAGGCGTTGGCAGACTCTGGGCAAATGACTTCACTTACAAAGAGGGAGTAGGCAGATCCTGAAGCAGGAGTACTTGCCTGCCTGCGTGAGGGTAGCAACGAAGCCAGGGCGGTGACCGTGGCAGGTGTTTGGGGCCAGATAAGAATTTCTGACTGTGGAAAGGCTCGCACAGCAAAGCAACGTGAGCTGATGTGGGTTTAAAAAGAGCATCTGTGTGGAGACCAGACTGACAGTGGGGAGAACACTGAGGTTTCTCTCTACAGGGTGAAGAAAGGGGCTAATTTGGGCTAGAGAAACAGTGAAGGGCCTGAGTAAAAGCAGGCACATTTGGGTGTCTGTGGTAAGAGAGCAGCCAGGATTTGGTGGATTTTCACACAGATCAGACAGTCTCAGGAGGAACGTCAGGCCAAGGATGTGGGATGAGCCCCCAGGCGGAGGGCAGTGTCATAAACTGGCTGACCTGCGGTAGAGCAGAGGGCTTGCAGCTGGAGACAGAAGTGCAGAGGTGCCTGGTAGAGAAAATGCGTAGGCTTGGGGATCAAGGATGTCAGCAGGAGGCTGTAGGAGGAGAATCCAGCTCAAGCATGGAACACTGGGACCTCAACGGTGAAAGGGTCTCAAGGAGGACTCCTCCCACGGGAGACACAGGGGTGGCCGGTGGCGCAGAGAACCAGGAGGGCCAGGTCTGCAGCGAAGGCCTGTCTTCGGCCACTGGAGGCTTTCAGCTGGGGCCACACAGAGGTTAAGGAATGTTGGCTGAGCGATTGTTGCGTTCTACCCTTCCTAATTCACATTTCTACTGATATCAGACGATTTAAATTCAAAGGAAAAGTGACCCCCATTTTGTAAGTTCTTTCCAATGGTAGTAAATAAGCATTTTGGAGAAAGAACTCCAAATATGCTTTATAAGGTTTTAGCAAGTGGTCATTCATCTATGCAAACAAAATGGCATGCAGTTGTCCTATCTCTGTGGTTTTTGGTGCTCAGATGTACATTTGAATGGCCAACATGAATTGCATTTTATACATGCATTGTATAAATTTGCTTTTAAATGCAAAATAGCCTAGTAAGATAATGGTTGGAGGTACTATAATCCCTGTAGTCATTCACTGACACATAAGAATAATTTGTTTTCCCAAAATTATTGAACTTGGCGGACTCACTGCTAAAGAAGGTGCCGAGGGCACACAGACCCTTCGCTTATAGGAAACGACTATGCTTTCCATGGCTCACAGCGACAAAGCAGCAATAGCCTGAGCATCTAAAATCCATTTGCCCAAATTTATCACTAGAGGACTTTACAGGTAAAGTTAGGTTCTTCTAGGAACCTAAGAAGAAAGAAAACTCTGGCAACACAAATGGTTTATTTCTCTTACATGCCTAGTAAAATGAATATAAAGAATATTGTCATTCAGTCATCACTTACTAAGATTACAAATTATCTGAGAAGAATGTTCCGACAAGAGGTTCTAAATGTCACTACCATAGCGATCATATCCCAGCACATAAATGTATCAAAATAGCATGTCATCCAGCCAAACCATACAAAATGTTTTATGTCACGTATTCATAATAAAGACACTGGATTCTCATGCATCCAGTCTGTCTTGTTCTGTTCCCCTTCATATCCAGCTTCTGCCTCATGGTCTCACGTGGCTAGTCAGGTTAGCCCTTGTATCTGCATCCTAGCAGCAGGGACAGGAAAGGAAGAGGGAGACCACTGGCCAGCTCTCACATAAGGTGGGCACACTGAATAACAAGGGAGGCAGGAAGTTGAAGATTTTATTCTGCCAACCCTGTGTCCATCTACATTTTGGAGGTCCTGTTAATGACAGGAACAGTGAAGCATCGTCTCTGTGCCAGGGCCTTTTAAGTAATAAGTAGGAGTTTTACAGGCTTTTTAGACAATAGGGCTGTTCAGGGGTAGGGGTGTATTTTTCTCTGTAAATTATCTTAAATATGACATAATCACTCTAGAATTTTTTTAATGCATCCTATTTACCTTGTCACTAAGCTTACATATCTTACTCTGTATTATCATCAACTCTGAAGACATTATAAGATGGCAGTTAAGAGTAGGAAGCCAAACTGCCTGTTTCCAAATCCTGCCATTACTCCCTCACCATGGTGTGACTGTGGGGAGTTGTCAGCCTTCTGCAGCTCTGGTCTCCATCTTCAAATGGAATCATAATGGTACCTGAATCGCAACGCTGTTATGAGGATTAAATAATTGCTGAGAATTCTGAGATGCTCCTGGTAGGTAGTAAGCCCTAAATTTTAGTTATTACTGTCGATTGGCAGGTTCTTGGTAAAAGTAGTTTTAATTCTTGGTAAAATGTGACTGTAAAAGTTAACTTGTAAATACGTGTTAATAGTTTCACTCTGGTAGAGCAGAAGTAATTGGATAATTAAATATGTGTATGTGTGTGTGTACATAATCATTTGCAAATAGGTATCAGTCTTTTAACTTTGCACTTCTGGTGTGTCTAAGTATATCCAGAGCCAAGAAGTCAAAAGACTGTTCTCAGTAACAACATCTTGTTACCTGTGTCTTGGGATAAACAGAGTGAGCAGTGAGCCTGCTGGAGGATAACTATTTGGCAAGCGAAATTTGAGTGTCTTTTGAAGAGGGACTGGGCTGAAGGCTTTGCTCAGTCGACTTTCTGAGAAACCTTCTTGAATCTATGGGCTCAGTTAAATATTAGTGGGCTTTTTTGTACAGCAGACTGTTTTCACACCTCTCAGATTTTACTGAAGTTGTGTGTTCCATGCTGTTTCCCCTTCCACATTCTGGGGAGAGACTGGCTCTCACTGACCACCCTCAGCATCGTCACCTGCCAGCCTACCAGACTTGGTACACAGCAGCAGAACAAGATGCCACTTTCAGAGGAGCTGTGATTTAAAATTTCAGTGTAGAAATAACAGTAATTTTTTCATGGCCTTAATTTGCCACCTGAATGTGGTCATCTGCAGTGAGATGCTCAGAATAGCCGCACTTTTTCAAAATAAACTGACATTTCAGACAAAGTAACAGCCATGCTACTGAAGTCCAGGTCAGAAATTTCTGTGCCCTGCCCCTTGGGGTCCTGGCCTGTTGTGTTCACTCTCCAGTCTGGCTCGCCTGAGGACTGACTCAGCTGGACGCATCTGCATGGTTAGTCTGACAGCTGTGCTAGCTCATTTCGTTAGCTGAGAAAACAAGAGGTGGTGCCTCTCCTGAAGGGCTGTTACACTCAGTTCCACTGTGCTGACTCCGAACCCCAAGCGCTGTGGTCAGAGCTCAGGTGACGTGCTCGGCGCATCTAGCTTTGTGTATATGGCTGCCATACAGTCTGATGCCAAAATTGGATTATACCTGCCACGGCTCTTGCACTGATAGCACCCACATTCTTTGACTTCATTATTAAGACAAAAGTCTGTAGGCCCTTGTCTCTGCCGCCTGGAATATTTGGTGTAACGGGGCCCAGCATGGCGCGGGCGCCCTGAGGTGGTCAGCGAGTCTGTGCTCTCGGCCCGCCCGCCGGGCGGATGCACCCGCAGCCTGCGCTGTGCGCATCCCTCACACGCTGCTGGCGTCTCCCCCAGGGAGGTGCTGAGAGGCACGAGACGTGGCCCACAGGCGTTTCCTCTGGAGTTTTTCAGTAGTGGGTTTCAGTATCCCTTTGTAATCGTCTGTCTTGAGATTGAGGCATTAAAGGGAAGTTCTGTATCTCAATGGACTAAAGATAATGATCTCCATTATTATTTTTTATATTTCTTATTTAGGAATGTACCTTTCAGATTCTATTTTTGAAAAAATAGTGCTAGCATAATAAATTTTCCACATGCTGTATGCAGTGTGAAAGACTAGGATTCCTGCATTGTTTTTATGTTTGAAAACACAAACACAGTGCACTCTGTAGGTATGCTCCCAAATCACATCATCCTCTCACCACCTAGGGATTTAAGATTCCTGGCTTTTGGGTTTTATTTCTACTTTCAAGAAGAATTTTAGTTTATATACTTTAGGTTAAACATCAGTTTTTCAGTTCTTATTTTTTTTTTGAAAGATTTATTTATTTCTACATACAGAACTGGGTGCAAGCCAAAGGTGCAGGGGCGGTGAGAGGCTTCACCAGAGACAGAGCAGGGAGCAGAACAGGCAGATAGATGAAGGACACTGCTGAGGGGAGCAGTGGGTGGGGTCAGGAGGGGTCTGACGCACCCTGTGGATCACCTCCGTGGCCAGGGATGGAACTTGCACTGAAGTGGCCGTGCTGGCTTGCAATGCTGCATCCTAACCCGTTGCACCACCAGGGAGGGCCCAACTTTTCACTTCTTAAAGAAATGTACTATGTTAGCCAATTGCCTCCTTAATCCATTCCCCCTCCCCATTTTAAAAGCGTTTCATATACCACCAAAATTTTAATTTCTCTTTCCTGTCTTTTTAAAGGTCGATTGAGCTATCCACATCCAGGAACTGACAATCTTTTGATGTTAAATGGTAAGTTTTATAAAAACATTTTCTCTTTCCAGTTGATCTATATAAAGATGATTGGATACATTTTCTCTAAACCTTCCCCAGACACACAGTGACTCATTTTATAAGTCAAAAATAAGTCCTAGCTCTTCTGTACAGGAAGCAGAATTAGGATTTTGGATGTATTCTGGGTACAAAGCAGTCACGGCGTGTACTTGCGATGGTGCGAGTTGGTGCAGTGACCGTGGACTTTGGGGCCAGACAGTCCTGAGTTTGAATATCAGTTTTACAGTTCATGGTGTGACCTTGGTCAGATAGCTTCAGTGAATGTTGGTTTCTTATCTGTGCAGTGGGAATGATAGTCTCAAGATTTATTATGACAATCAAATGAGGATAATGGTCGCAGGTGCATAGAACTTGCTACTTAGTGTTGAGTTGTGCTTACCTTCACTGAGAAAAGAACATACTGGCCACTCTGTAAAGATGGTGGTCACTCTGACAGTGTGTTTTGACTGTGCAGTTTACAGGGTGTGTTCCCCAGCGTTACAACACTTGGTTGAAGTTTTCTTCCTGTTGTACACTCATAGAGCCAGACAGCCAAGTGCTGAGCCCATCCAGGGCTGCTGGAGTAGGCAGGGTGGGTTCAGGCGCCCTCCCCAACATGAGAAGAGAGGAAAGTAGGAAGAGGGAATAAGTGAGTGTTCATAAATATGTTTAACATACTTGGTTCTGTCATTATGATAGTCTGCCTCTTCTATTTCAACTAAAATTGAGTTGGTAAAAGATGGCAATGATATAAAAAAAAAAGTGACTGGGGGAAAAGGCTAATGTTAACACAGACAATGAGACAATGGAAACCAACTAACATTCACACTGTCGTGACAGAAAAGTGGGCGTTAAGTCCAGATTACCTCAGATTTTTTTTTTTTTAAGTGACTGAAAAATTGAAGAAAAAAGTGAAGTAAGGTAATTGACCGGCTCGGTGAACGTTTGACTATTGAGTCAAGTTTCCCAGCACGAGCAGCAGGTTAGCTGGTAGTGCTGGTAGTGACCGTCCTTGCCGCTGGTTGGAGGCAGCGGGCACCTGCAGGTGGAGCCGGGCCGCGGCGCACGAGCTCCCGGTGCCCAGGCAGCTCGGTGCGGGCAGGCTTCCCAACACCGTAGCCAGAAAGCACTGGAAACTGCATTCCAGTGCTTCAGTCAATTTTTTCCTACTGTGAAGTTGAAATAACAAAGCCCTCTAAGTAGGTAGCATCTGAACTCTAAATCTATGACTAAAAATTACATTGACTTTATAACAATGACAAGATTGTCATACTCTGGTTTCTCTCCAGATCGTATAAAAATGACAAGATTGTCACTTTTTATAATTTTCATTTAAAAAATGATAGGTTTCAATAATAATAATGTTACTTCTGACTTCCATAAAGTCTGTTAAAGCAATTTTTATGGTAAACAAAGATCATATTTTTATTTTAAAATCTAAAACAACTCTTTAAAAATTTGATTTAGGGTATATTTCAGAACAGAATTTAACATAAGACAAAAACTTTGGCTCTGTTAAAAATTCATGTGAAAGAAATATTCTGTGACTTGTTAAATCCTTTACAAATGTTCTCAGGTTGCTGAATCCTTACTACATTTGCCTAGATGTCTGCTGTAGTCATAGTAGGATGCCTGTGTGCGTAACAGAGAACTTAGCTGCCACGTTGTCGTTATAACCTAGCTTTGGTTACACTAAATATTAAACTTCTTTCTTCAGTTTCCTAGAGTCCTATAAATAATCTAGATGCTAGGCTGAAAGTGTATCTATCATCACGTGGTAGACACAAGAATATTTTTCAGGCAAGAATTGCATCTTGGTGTTTTGTTTTGTTTTAAGATTTATTTATTTATGCATACAGAACTGGTGTACAGGCCAAAGGGGCAGGGGCGGTGAGAGGATTCACCAGAGACAGAGTGGGGAGCAGTACAGGCAGATTGATGAAGTACACCACTGAGGGGAGCGACGAGCAGGTCAGGAGAGGCCTGCCATGCCATATGGGTCACCTCCCTAGCCAGGGATTGAACTCGCACTGAAGTGGCCATGGCTAGCTTCATAGTGCTGTGCTTCAGTCCATTGCACCACCAGGGAGGGCCCCAAGAGTTGCATCTTGTTGACAGATCTGCTTCTTTACCATGAGAGAGGACTTCTCCATGGTCTGCCATTTTAGACACTCAACAGAAAGCCTCTGTGGAAGTTCAGAGCTTTTTCTGGCATAGACCTAAGAGAGAAGAAAGATGAACTTGGACATTAAAATGTTTTTAGGTTGGTGGAGATAATTTGAACCCAGAAGAAAATATTTATTTTTCTCAGAAGAGGCAAAAATTATCAGATAATGGGGCATACATGGGGCAAGGAGCTAGTTGGTATTAAGAATTTAAATTTTTTTTTGTTTTTATTTAATTTTTTTTACATCATTCTTCATTTTGTACAATTTTTCTTCTCAGTTGTAATCCCCGTGAACTTCCCACCACCACTGCACCCCTGTGGCATCACCATAGTCCCCATGTGCTTTTCCCACCCCATTTTGATCTCATTGCCCTCTCACCCCCCACAGAATGTTCCCTGGTTTATAGTTGTTGATGTTCTTCTTTACTTTATTACAGTTACTGTATATATTTTTTCCTGATCCCTTTCACTCCTGCTATGAATGAAACCACCCAATATTTTTATTTTTCTTTCTGGCTTATCTCACAAGTATGATCTTTTCCAGCTCCATCCCTGTTACTGCAAATGGCATGAGTTTATCTTTTTTGATTGCTGAGTAATATTCCACTGTGTTTATGGATCACATCTTCTTGATCCAGTCATCTGTTTTTGGGCATTTGGGTTGAAATTTAAATAATGTTTTAAGTAGGTTTATTGAAGAGAAGTAGATAATGAGCGCTGAAAGGACTAAGGGGAACTTTTTCAATAGCTACTTTTTAAGTATTTGTGACTCACTATATTCTTAATGTACTGTCTCCCTGGAAAATGTGGGAATTAACCCATGTTAATACCAAGCCTGAATTATGGTTACATATTTATGAATGGTTAAATTGTATTTATCTTAGTTCATAAACCCATTTTTTAGAGTACTTTTTGTTTTTTTTAGAACTTCACAGCTTGAACTGCTAAATGGTTAAGAAGATAACTCGTTTTGACTTTGAAAATCAAAACTTGGTAAAAACATAGGCATCAGGGTCTTACTGGCTTAGGATAGTCCCTGGCAGTCGGCACTACAGAGGGTAGAGCGGGGTGTCCGGGCTTAAGTCAGCCTCGTGTTTCCTCACTCTGTGACCATGGAAAACTTAACCTGACTTCACTTTGACTCAGATTCCTTGGAGCTAAAAGAAAAAATGTGCTGCATGCCTCCGGGGCTTGTTGTGAGGAGTGGCAGGGAAGGGACCTAGAACATTCCTGAGAGTGGAAGTGAGATGGCAGAAACTGATGAACAGTGACTAAGCTGACTTTGAAAGAATAAAAGTCCTGTGAGAAGGTGGAGTTGTATATGTTTACTTTGGAGAATAAAAGACTGAAAAGATGTGCTGATATTTTGAGCTATCTGAAGGATGCTATCTATAGTGAACAGAGAAAGCTTGTTTTATGTTATTATAGAAAACCAGACTGAAACCGGTTGGAAGAAACTATATAGGGACAAATCTTGGGTCAGTTAAAGTAGAATGCCTCTCTCAGGCAAGTGCTTCTAGAGTGGTTTGATGATTACAATTTTAAGAACATGCATTAGAAAACACAGATTGGGCAAAAATCTGTGATGTTATGCTAGTACCTGGGTTGAGTCCATTTAAGAGAAGTAGTATAGTTGCTATGCAGATAAGACAAACATTGTGCAGGCTTCATTATCCTACATTCCAGCTTAATCAGCTCTATGGTTAAGCTTTTAAATCGGTCCTTGAGTCAGGGATAAGCAGGGGCCGGGGTGAGTTCAGGAAGTTGGTCCAACGTGGTAAAACCGTGAAGTAACTGGTACACTCTTAACTCTGAGCCTCTGTTAACTAGGGGTGGAGAGAAAGGTGCAATTCTACACCTGTATGTCAAGTTGTACAGGTTGAAAAATTAACTGCCAGCAGTCTCCGACCTCTGAACAGTCTTTATGTCTCGAGTCAGTTGGAAACCAAGTTGAGTTGTCTGGTGGTGAGCGACAGCTGGTGAGGGAGCTCAAATATGGCGGAAGAGATGGAGTTGAATTCTAGGAACAGAACACACTCGGAAAGTTGCAGAGTGGGAGGTGGCGAAAGCCCAAAGGGTAAGCCTCTGTGAAATTAGAGCACCAGCTTGAGGGTTACATCCCGCAGCTTTACCGCCAGTGCTAAACCCAGAAAGATAGCCGCCATTTTCCGCAGCAGTAAGGAGTAGTACAAGTGACACCCCATTCCAGGGTGGTTTCTGTTTGGATTAAGCTGCGCTTCCTTTGCCCTCTCCCGATGAATTATAATAAATACCTTGGGCTTTTGTTTGTACATATTTCTTTCCGAAGGGGAACATATCAAGTAGAAGTACAGAGGGATGGTATCACTGACAAGCTGGTTTGAAATTTAAATTTGCTGTGATTAATCACGTGCAGTCATGTTTGTAGTAAGTAACTTTCAGTTCTTTGGGGCAAGAGAGAAGTAAATGTGTATTTTTTAATGAAGAAAATTCACTCACTAATGAAATTGTATTTCCAAAGGCAGATAACTCTAAATTATTAAGACATGAAAATAGGAAAGTTGAATATGCAGCTAGCTCTTTTCTTATGCTAATAGGAGTGCAATGGAGAACAGATTTGGGATCTTGAAAAGGAGTATGACTTGGGTAACAGATTTCTTTCCGTGGTGACGATTTGTTAAAGGAAAAGAATTTAGCTCCACACCGGAACTTTAACCCTCAGTGCTTGCATGTCTACCTGTCGCCTCCTACTGTGGTCGTCTGGCTGCCACACTGAGGAAAGTCACAGTGCAAAAGTGGGCAGAGAGAGAGGACCGTAGAAGCCTCCTGTCTCATCGCTGTAACTGTGGGTTGGAGCCTACATGCGATTTTGCTGTCCCAGGGTCAAATCCGATAGTCACTCCATGTGGGAAAGGCCTCCGGGAGCTCCTGGCAGCCTTTGTCACGCAGTGCGCACTATGTCCGACACACGTACACATGCGCCCGTCTGCCGACAGCCCGTTTCCCACTTTTAAATGAGGTGCGTTTTTGAAAATAATGTAATAGCTTATGTTTACACCATTTTGTGCCGTTTTCCATCTCAGCTGTCATCCCCGTGGGCTTCCCAGCACCAAATCACCCGTGTGCCATCACCATAGTCCAGGGCACTCTCCCCCCCCACACACACACATTTTTTATCCCATTTCCCACCACCCCCGTAAAATGTTTCTGGTATGTAGTTGTGTGTTGTTATTATTTTCTCCCCTGGTCCTTTATATTCTGCTATGAGTGAAACCATCCAATATTTTTCTTTTTCTTTCTGGCTTATTTCACTCAGCATGATCCCTTCCAGCTCCATCCATGTTGCTGCAAAAGGCATGTGTTTATCTTTTTGGTTGCTGAATAATATTCCATGGTGTATATGTACCACATCTTTTTAATCCAGTCATCTAATTTTGGGCATTTGGGTTGTTTCCATGTCTTTCTGATTGTAAATAAAGCAGCAGTAAACATGAGGGTGCAGGAGTCTTTTTGAACCAGTGTGTTTGTGTCTTTGAGTAGATACCTAGGAGTGGGATTGCTGGGTCATATGGAAGCTCCATTTTTAGCAGTTTGGAAAACCTAAATGAAGTGCATTTTTATAATGCTTCATAAAATATGCATATGTGCAGTCAGTACTATAGTTTTTATACAATTAACCATTCATTTTTTGCTAAATCATTTTTCTAAGCGAGTTTGGAGGGACTTGTTAATGCAAAGAAGTCACCTTTTATGCAGCATACTAAATGCCATTTAGTGTTTCTTCCCCGTAGAGTTCTGGTCATTTGCTTCAGGTTTACAGTGGGACACAGCCAGGGAGTCCAGGACGTCGCAGGACGGGCCAGTGTGCCATGTTCAGCACGATAGAGTGCCTGGTTCTCTCTGTGACAGGGAGCAGGAGATGTTTTCCATGGTTGAGCATCATCTTCAGCCAGTAACGGTTTTGGTCATGTAGAAACTTGGGAATCTGGGAAATTTTTTCATCCAAAAATTAGTGAAGAAGCTTTTTCGGTATTTTAAAGTTGCTCAGGTACCAGATAGTTGAAGAAATGTTCTAAATAATAATGTTTAAGTCTGAAACTGAGTTGAACATTTGTACATAAATTCTGTTTAGTATCAAGCAGCCTCAGCTAAGAGTCACAGCCAAAAACAAACTGGTTATGAGGCCATTAATTTTCTCAGTAGATCAAGAGTTATGTGCCATTATAATTTTATTTTAAACTTTAACATAGTTTCATTTGTTTTATAAGTGCTCAGCCCTCTACACCTGGGAATGAAGTGTTCCCCAAAGTAAGTTCATACTGAGTTAATCTTAGAACATGCCCACAGTTGGTCAGGAAACCCAGCGCCGAGACCAGGAGCTGTGAAGTGTTTGGGGCTGTAAACTTCAGACTTCCGAGCCTGCTCCTCACGGCTGTAGTAAAATTCCTGTGGCCAGTCTGGTTTCCATAGTCAATCTCCCAATCTCCCATCTCTTTGAGACCCTAATTCCTAAGTTTTAAAAGACCTAGGTAACAGGATTCTAAATGCCTACTGCCACTTTTACTCCCCCCCACACCCCCCCCACACACACACCCAAAAACAACTGAATCAGCAAAGTTACAGCTCAGTTACACACACACACACACACACACACACACAGGTGGCCCATAGAGCAGCTGTGTGTGTGCAGCCAGGTAACTCTGTTGGTGGGTAATTGGAACTTAGAGACAAGTCTGCAGTAGATTATATGTAACTAAATAAAGACAGTAGGATGGCAGGGCACAAGTGAAGTTATATTTTATAAAAGATTGATGTAGCCTTATCAATTTCTTAAATTGTAAATGACTAAGATTTGACCAGTTTATTTCCTCCCCCCTCCCCCCGATAATTATGGGGGACTAAATGATGTATCTCACCTTGTAGGCAGTGTATTTTGTAAAACGTCTGTACTAGGTTATATCTAATGATGTGAAGTGTTTTCTTTTGATCTTAAGTTTTATTCTTTTTGGGAAGACTATATTCTGACAGCTTTTAAATACATATTTCAGATTTGAGATTGTTTTTCAATGACCAAAGTTTTTCCAGACCTAAAAAATTTTTGAATACCAATTAAGATTTCAGTTTTGACTTTAATGTTTTGGTTCCTTATTTTCTATATTAATTCCATGGTAAAGTGCTCATTTCTATACTCAGATTTGAAGAGAGGCGTTATTTAAAAGCAAGTTGCAGATTTTAGCAGGCTGGTATTTATGACAAATAAATTGTAGTATTTTTTTCTCCATAAGGAATGACGTAAAGTGATGTAGTTTTATAGTACTTAACATGTGCACTGTATGAATCCATCTTAACTCCAGAGATGGTAACATTGTCGCTTGAAGATCTGCTAGAAGTTGTACCCTACGGATCAAAACTTGGTTAGCTGTGGTATACCAGTCATCATATTTTGAACTCAACACATTTGAACACAGAGTTCTTTATACTTCAAGCTGTGCGGGCTGCCGAGTATCCGATGAATATTGTTCCATTTTTTGCTCCACTGTGTCACCCAGTGGTTTTTAACACAGGACTCTGCTATATCACTTTTTATTAATGTGTGGGAAAATAAAGACTTAATTCAAGTTGTGTGCATTCACAGAAAAGTTGGGGTGCTTTTTAATTGTGAAGTGTGTTGTATACCTCTGTCCTGCTCAGATGAAACAAGTCGTTATGCAAGGATGCTTCACGTGAATGGGAACCGATTGTGTGAGTCGGGGCCACTTCACAGCCCTGAGCTGTTTGCAGAGCGAGGGCTTGTGAACGCTGAAGCGTGTTGCGTGTGGCGGCGGCTCCGAGGGCGCACGAGGCCCAGGTGCTGCGTCGCTTGCATATCACAAATGTTTACATGTGTGGGCTGATTTTTAGTTCTGACATTTTACAATTTGTCCTTTGTTTACATGCAGCAAGGAGTTATGGGCGAAGACGAGGTAATTCCTTTCTGTTTGCTGTGATTTAACTGTGTCTAATTGGGTCTTGCTGATCGTTGTCATTAATTATCTTAGATTTCTCACACAATCTAAAACTCACAGAAGAATGGTGTTTTGATTTGAGCACTTGTCAGAATTTTGAATCCTAAATCTCATTTTCATCGAAATCTAAAGCATTCTCATACTAACAGTTACTTAATAAATTTTTCTTTTCAAACTGTCCAGATTTTAACTTTTTGAAAGTTATTTTTGTACTATTTTAAAATAGAGCTGTCACTTATTGTTTACATAAGAAATTGTTTAGTAAATGCTGTTAAGTCAGGGTGGCTGGGCCTCTCTGATCGTCGCATCTGCTGTCTCTACAAGTCTAGCTGGTTTTGTGTTTGTCCCAAATGAACATCTGTAGCGAGCGTGGGGCCTCTCCTCCCTCCCAAGCCCTCCCCCAAAAGTATCTTCCCCCCACGGTTCTTGTTATCCTAAGGAAAAGGGTAGGGCTGAGTGGTGCCGGACTTTTAAACTTTCTAGAGAGACAGCTAACATTTTCTGTGGCTTAATTTCTTGTTTTCACGTGCAGAGATTGTGAGGGAGAGGCGTAGATGGGGTGAAAGCAGCGGATGTGACATTACGCTGGTAGTTGTCCTCCAGGCGAGCAGTCATCATGGTGTTTATATGTCGTCGTAAGTGCCACGCTGAGTAGAGAGGGTTTTCCTCGGCCCCGAAAGTCCCCGTTGTGCTGTGGAGGAGACAGTGGTAATAGCGCCTCTTACACCTGTCCTGATGGGCCACACGCCCATTGCTGTCGTCGGCTTGCGAGTCCGGGTACCTGGAAGGCAGACCAGCAAAGCCACTTGTCTCCACGGATGATGAAAACTGGCATGTGTGTGCTTGGAGTAGCACTTCCATTTTGGTGTTTCACATCCTGTGAATTCAGCTTTAGAATCTGGTGTGTGCAAATGTTAAACTATGTCCTTGGTTTTTTGTAGTTTTCTACAGAAACTAAAATATTAGAGAACATAGAAACTTAGAAAACTGAAATTGAATAATTTTCTAAATAGTGTTGTCAGCCACTGAGGAGGGGGGGAGTTTAGGACTTTAGTCCCTGTTTTGCCTATTTTCAGATGGTGGGCGGGGCTGTCATTTCCCTGCACGCTTCTTAACATGGGACTTCACTTCTCTGAGAAAACTTTTGACGCTCTGAATTGTAGGTACTTTTGGAACTGTAGAGCAGCTTAGAAGTCATTTCTTTAAATAGGATGCCTTCATAAACATACACCTTTCATTTTTAACTTTAGTGATTTATATTTACTCGAATTTGTCTTACTCCGGCGTGAACAGCCTGACCTGGGAGGGCTGCCTTCGGTCTGCACGTATCTCAAGTCATGTCATTTCCTCTTGATCCCAGCGCAGTCACTGCAGGCCGATTATAAATATGAAGAGAAAGCAAAACTCCTTTCGAGGAGAACTGCGACATAACCACGCTCCTCCGGGAGCCCCAGTGATGGCTCTGAAGCTGAGAGAGCAGGCTGTCCTGGCCGGCAGCTGGCTCCCGCCTTCCTCAGGACACACCTGGCGGCTGTCGGGCCCATTCAGCTTAATATGGGGGAAGACACCTGTGTGTTCATCAAGCTATACGGCAGGGTAGTTTTTTGGTTGGTCCAAATCTTCAGAGTCTGCTTGGAAAATTTTAATTTTAAGCATACCCATTAGAGTATGTTGAGGAATTTTATTTGCTTTTGAAAGTACTTGGACTCAGTAAGAAGACATTTAAAACGCCAGAGGGATGACTCGGGACTTAAACAGCGTGGCTTTCCAAACCCTCTTGTCTGCTCTCTCCCCTCCACGTCACATTGACATCCTCTAGCCTCCCAGGACCCTGCACCAGCGTCTTGTGTAAGGTAGTCGTTCAGAGTGACCGCACTCATTCCTTTAGTCACTTTTTCTTTTCAAAAGAGAACGCGTATCTTAAAGCAAATCAGAGCTGTTCATGTGGGACATGTCACCGAGTTGATGTGATTCTTGCCAGGAAAAAAAACCCGTGAGTGGTGGGTGAGCAGTATTCTCACAAGGAATTTTGCTTTGTGACCCAGTTTAGGGAGAACTTCCTTTTCTTCTTAACTTGGTCACCTGCGACTCACCCAGGCAGAGGTACCTGTTTTTCACGTGAGGTTTCCCATTACGACCAAAATGACTATGTATTTTAATTTCTTTAATAATGTCAATGAAAACTATAAATCACGATGGCTATAGATAGTGCTATGTGAAATATATACCTTAGGAATAATAAAGCTGTCATGTCCTGGGAGAACTTAACAAGGACGCCTTTCCCTGCTGTCCAGTGGGAGCTGTTCCCACTCCTCAGTGTCCCTGTGTCCACAGAGGCTGGAGTCGAGGTGAGGGGGGAGGCAGCCTCTCGTGTGAAAATGACTTTAGCCTATGGGAAAATACCGGTCTTTGTATTTTCTGTCCAGTGTTTCTTCCATTCTACCCAGAGAACATAGGCCACTCTGGGACAGTGAATGGGCATGTGAAGTATAACTTGAAACTCTCGATTTGAAGTATTTCTGTATTGCAGCCTCTCCCTTTAATGAAAGATCAAAGGGCTGCTGTACTTCAGGGAGAATACAAATATATAGAATATTTGAAGTAAGAGATAAAGAGCCTCTTAGTTAATAGACAACAACACAGTCTCTTTTGGCACGTAAAGCCAATATGTAGGTTAGTAGAGTTTACATGGAATGAGAAGGCAGAAATAATTTTCAAAGGGACTGCAGTTGTGAGCATTCAGTGAGCAAGGCTGATTCACTCATACTGTGTAGCCATCAGATTTATGGACCATTGGTAAATACAGATTGCTAGGAATGCTGGCCCCTGTGTATTGTTTTAAAGTGGACTCGGGTTTTCTGTTGGGACTAGTTTTGATTTGGACTCTTTTGACTCAGAAACAGAATCTTGTGAGCGCACTTCCCCTGATAATCTCCACTAGCGAATCTTTTATGATGACATCATGACTGGAATCTTATCCTTGATAAATGTTTTTGATAATTGCCAGAGAAGCAAACATCTGCAAAGCAGGGAAAACACCAGGCTAAGGCTGAGACAAGGTCAGCCAGCTGTGACCACAGCCAAACCACCTGCTTGGTAAACAGCTTCCCTGGTGTGCACAGGCCCTTTCCGGGGCGCGGCAGCCGGATGGCAGAGTGGAGAGCGGGGAGCAGAGGCGCCGCCAGCACAACCCAAAGCACGTGCTGTCTGCAGGGAAGCAGTGACAGCCGCCGCCTCCAGAGGACCTGCTGGCACCTCCGCCCAGCCGCGCCAGTTTGTGGGAGAAACAGTGTCCGTGGACTTAATTAAACTTAAAGACAAAAGCACACAGGGCACTAGGTTGTGATTACTTTTTTTCATTATCTCCCGCATTCGCTATGAGAAACGAGAAAAGCATGAACTTGTTAAGACAGCAGAGTATTTTGGGGAGCGCTGTGGGCCTCAGTCCTGGGAGCACTGCGCCACCAGCGTTCTGCCGGGACGGGCGGCTCGAGCGCTGGCCTCGGCCTGCCGTGTCCCTGCACGGTCAGGAAGCCACACTGAGCACTGCCCAGTGGCAGCGGGGCGGCGGCCTGGCGAGGGAGCCGCGTCCGCAGCCACCCTTGACCCCTTGGCGTGTGTCTGCCTTTAGGACAGTTCCAGCCATAAAAGCACAGCACCGTCCATTGAGCGCAAAGAACCAAGTTTTGATTCAAGCTGCAAATTGACTGCATTTGTGCAAGTCCTGTATCGCAGCCTTCCCAACCCTTTGATATTTTGGGAAATGACTAGTCGGGGCTACCAGAATAAAGCTAATTCTGAGAAGCGGAGTCTAACGACGTCTGGGCATGGTAGCCCCCCACACGTTCGCAGTGGGGCCCTCGGCTCTGTCCCCAGTCTGGGAAACTCCTGATACAGTCCTTCCCAGTGTATTTTGTGGAACAGTAGTGTAGGTGTAAACGGGGAGATGCCTCTTGCCTTCTCCAAGCCTTTGGCGATGCATTACTGCAGTCACGTAAACTCCAACAGATGACACTCATGCGTTGTAGGGTCCTTGCTAGAGTCCACTTCTTGTTCGGAGAGGGGGTACACTCCAGTCCCATTCCAGGCCCTCCCCCCCCGAGCGCCATGGCGCATGCAGAGGGGCCCTGGCACAGAGTGCGCCTCCGGCTCACTCCCGGCGGCTCTCTGCGTTTCTTCTGGAGCTTCCTCTCCCGCTGCTTTACCTCTACTCTGCTAGAGCCACTGTTCTGCCTGTAAACGTTCACATGTGCACTTTCAGTGGCTTAGAGAGCACAAGCTGTTTTACTTGATTTGTAGGTGATGCTTTTGAGTACGGGGTCAAGAGTGCCTTATCATTTGATGTTTTCGGTGGTAATGGCCTCGGGAATAAGTCTGTGCTTTTGTTCAAGCAAGTATCTTCTGGCTGGGAAGCCTTCTCCTCTCGTCTCCTCAACTCTGTCTAAAACTATCCCATTCTTTGTAAATCTCTTTAACTTTTAGAAATGCTCTCTGATCCTGTTTACTACAAATCTCACATTCTCATATTTTCTGTTTGTATGTTTCCCCATCACAGAGCTTTCATGCATACATGCCTGCAGCCAGCCTGTGTGTATGTGTGCAGAGCGTAGGTCCACACCACAGGCATGCAAGTGGGCACGCAGGCACATTTGAAATCAGCATCGCTGAGTAGCAGTTTTAACGACAGTTTTTCCCTTTTGCTTCAGGGATAGTCAGGAATGTGGAGTTGGGTTTATTTCATCATACCAAGAGAACATAAATGAAGTGCTTGGTTTCAAGATGAAGTGATAATTTCTAAAATAGAAAAAGAAAAACCTACCACTTCAAACAGTGCAGCCCCAATTGCAGTAAACGTTTTTGAGCCTAAAAATTGATGCGCAGTATCTTAAGTTTGTTGTTGGTTTTATTTACCTGAAGAAATTAAACAACTTCTACTTCTTGTGGTAAGAGCCCTAGAA